TTTTTAAACAAGCAATTATTTTCAGAAGACAATTATGTTTTAGTCACAAATCAATCACCTCTCTATTTCGAGTGTGTTAAGACCTAATAGTAAGTTACCCTTTCAAATACAATCATAATACTAGCAACAAACAATGTTCGGAACTTTATTTTAATAGTATCAACTTATCAGTTTATAAATATTTACTCCGCTCATTCAACAACCTTAAACTGTATCCTTTACCATTTGTGTTTCTTAAAGTTGATCATTTGCCATTTTTTTTATTAAAACAAATACTCACATTTTGTAACTCCAGAAACATTGTAATTAAATCATCCTTGTTTCAGGTTTGAAATATATTTTGCGACTAACAGTTTTAACACATCGGAGAGAGTCCTAGAGAAGCTTAATCACCTTGTGTATGCCTTTACAGCTGTATGTTGGAGGCTCGTTTACTGTATAACGATGGCATGGTCTGCATAGTGGAGGCTTAGTCTGCATAGCGGAGGCTTAGTCTGCATAGTGGAGGCTCGGTCTGTCTAGCAAATCTGGGAGGCTCGTGACTGCATAGAGGAGTCTCAAGGCGTCCGAGGGTTCCCTCCCTCGTAGGACTAAATTATATAACTTCAGTTTGCAAAATAATGAGCAACTTAAGTACTTTTTATAGTTAGATTTTAATTAAAACTATCAATCTATCTAATAATCATGTAAAAGATACTTATAATTAAATATTAAATAAAATTAAATGGTCGCCTTGAAACAAAATCAATAGTAAAAATGAAATTACAAGGTTACTAGTAAATGTACGGGATAGGGTTAGGGTTTCTAGGTTAGTAAATATACAGGATGGGGTTAGGGTTGCTAGGTTAGTAAATATACAGGATAGGGTTAGGGTTGCTAGGTTAGTAAATATACAGGATAGAGTTAGGGTTATTAGGTTAGTAAATATACATGATAGGGTTAGGGTTACTAGGTTAGTATATATACAGGATAGGGTTAGGGTTACTAGGTTAGTATATATACAGGATAGGGTTAGGGTTGCTAGGTTAGTATATATACAGGATAAGGTTAGGGTTGCTAGGTTAGTAAATATACAGGATAGGATTGGGTTGCTAGGTTAACTAGAGATGGCATCATTTTTGTGAAAGAACAAAATTTTTGAAACTGAATGGAAACAATAATGCACTATTTAAAATCGTTTAAACGATCTTGAAAACAAACGCATATTTAAACAACTTTTTAAAAAAGGCTTTTACTGAAAGAATGATTTCATTGAACGATCTATTTTACTAAACGAACTATTTTACAGATGTTATGTAATGTAATAACATATTTATGACTTTGTCTTGTTTTTTGGTGTTAAAAATGTGTATTATTTAAAACTTTTTTTTGTTCTGTTTCATAAAATTCAAATCTACAATATATGAAATTAATAAATGTAAAAAAAACATACAAACTATTTCATATAATTAAATGCAAAACCATTCAAAACCACACCGTTAATAACGTAACTGTGTTTTTTCTTCGAAAACGAATGTATAGCTCCAGACACAGAACATGAATCAATTGATATACCCCCAGTATGTGGAATAATGATTAATCTCTTTTAATGTTTCTACGTTAATAACTAATATTTGATTTGATTTGATTTGATTAAGGATCCCTCTTAGAATAATCTGGTTCAAACCAGAGGAGTTTCCAACTTTTATGGCAACGCGTGTTTCTTTTGCTCCATTGCAAAAAAGTTAATAATTAATTAGGTTACTTTAATATTAATGGTTAGGTAAAGCAACTACATGGCTTGCACAGCAAATTCAATTTTAGGATAATAATCTTTTGTACAAAGATATCATATTTTTCTTTTAAAAATTCTGTTGTGCAGAATTGCTCGGAATCATTTTTAAATTGCCCGAAATTGCGTGGAATTACAGGGCTTGCTATTGGTCGAAAGTAAAATCCACTTGTGTCGGAAACCCTAAAGATATAGATAGATCCAATATTTTACACATGATTATCCACATTTACTTTTTTTAACTCAAAGGACACTTTTCTGAATGTATAATTTACCCCCCCCCCCCCCTAAAATATCATTCAGTTTGCTTTGTAGCAAATACCTGCTCTATAACAGCTTTACTCGAGATGTATCTATCCAGGTCTAAGCGTTACCAAGAACAACCAGGACTAACTCTTCGTTTCTGAATGCCACAAAGGCAATATCTCAACCAGGCTTAACTGTCCGGTTCCAAAGGACACACAGTCCAAAATCTCAACCAGGCTTAACTCCCTAGTTATATGAGCCACATAGGCTATTGAAATTGCTACACAGGCAATATCTCAACCAGGCTTAACTCCCTAAGTATAAAAGCCACACAGGCTATTGAAATTGCTACACAGGCAATTTCTCAACCAGGCTTAACTCCCCGGTTCTGAAGGACACACAGTCCTAATCTCAACCAGGCTTAACTCCCAAGTTATAAAAGCCACATAGGCTATTGAAATTGCTACACAGGCAATTTCTCAACATGACTTAACTCCCTAAGTATAAAAGCCACACAGGCTATTGAAATTGCTACACAGGCAATTTCTCCACCAGGCTTAACTCCCCGGTTCTGAAGGACACACAGTCCTAATCTCAACCGTATAATTCAAAAAGGACCCAAGCTGTCTTTCAAGCCATATTTGATCAGATTGCCAATTATCAAGGCAAGATCTCCACTTGTATAATTTAATGAGATCAAAGGCTATCTTTCAAGCTATATTCGATTAAAAGCCAATATTCAAGGCACAATCTACACTCGTATAATTCAACGAAATCACAAGCTATCGTTCAAGCTATATTCTATTCAATGCTAAATCCACTAGCAATGTAATGTTTCAACAAGAACATGGTCTATTTTTAACACAGTAATCAATGCAGAGTCTCAATCAATTAATCAATATTTTGTTGTTCATATTAGAATTGGGTTATTTACAAGTTATGAGCGGTTAATATATATACATATTAAATCACATTTATGAAAAAGACATTATTCCTTCAATGAAGAAAAAATCAATACAAGACCCTCTATCTTTATTAAAAAAAAGTTTTAAATGTATTTGCAAGTTCTGGAAAAAATATATTAATCCTTTAATTAGTTGATCCAAATGTTAGCAGAAATTCTGAGCCTGGGTTTGCATAATAATAAAACTAGTTCACGTGGACCTTTCTTTCATATAATTATTAAACTTGAAATATACAAACCAAGGTAACCAGATATTAAATTTTAATGAAGTCTTGGCTTTAAAACCAAACCTCATTAGTATGAAAAAGTAGTTAATATATTGAACAACGAGCAAAAATTCATTCTTTTTTTGTAAGTAAAGATTGTTTTATACATACTAATCTTATTTATGTCTAAGTTTTCTTAAAGATCTGTACAAGGTTTAAATGATGACGTATGCACACTAGGAAAAATATCTTTTTTGAACCAAAAGAACAAAAGTTACCCGTTTTTAGAAAAAAATGAGTTTTCATATAGACTTGTTCCAGACCCAAATAACAAAATTTTGACCAGTTTTTAAACTAGTTTAAATAGAAACATTTTAGAAATTCACCACATTTTTAGGGAAGATTTTGCCAAGTACTAAGTACAGTACTTATCAAAAATAGTTTCAAATTATTGTCTATTGCAATACAGTTTTAGCGTTCTGTTTGCAGTGGAGGGCAAGAACGTATAATTGAAAGTCATAATATGTTTTCGTTTTAAATTAAAATTTAACGATAAAACTACAGTGAAAACAAGAAAACTATGAATTAGGAAGACGACTTTTAGATTCTAGTTTTAGCTTTAAATGTCCAATGTTGGGTAATCACTATATATAAATAAATCAGTTAGTGCGTGGGACCAGTCTAACATGTTTTAGGAAGCTTGAAATCCTAATCTGGACCAGCAGTGCTTGGGGTCAGTCTAACATGTTTTAGAAACTTGAAGTCCTAATCTGTACCAGCAGTGCGTGGGGTCAGTCAAACATGTTTAGGAAGCTTGAAATCCAATCTGTACCAGCCAGTGCGTGGGGTCAGTTTAACATGTTTAGGAAGCTTGAAATCTAATCTGTACCAGCAGTGCGTGGGACCAGTTTAACATGTTTAGGAAGCTTGAAATCCTAATCTGTACCATCCAGTGCGTGGGGTCAGTCTAACATGTTTAGGAAGCTTGAAATCCAATCTGTACCAGCCAGTGCACGGGACCAGTCTAACAATGACTGCTGCTCTGCGTACAGTACTGTTCTGTAAAATTATAGCTTATGCTATGGCAGGAGGAAGGTAAAATTTCAAATGTTTTGTTAAATGGAATTTTAGGTGTAATTTCAAGTGACCCTTTATTTGTTAAGTGGCTATCTGATTCACAAAAGTACCCTTTCAATTTTTGACCGAACAAGGATAACGGACTTATTCTTATATATCTACAAAAATGCTTGAAGTTGTTTACCGTTGTACTTGTACACTGGATATTTCCCACTTTAAATGGAGGGTCACTTAAAATGTCATTTTCTATCCCTTAAGTATTACATTTAAGAAGAAATACCATGTTTTTCTTTATTTATATTTTATTTTAGCCAGTACACTAAAACTGGACAAATTTCTAAGAAGACTTGGGAGAGATGTACTACGAGACAGGGACAATATTCCTCCTTCACCTAACCTTGCATACACATCTCCATTGCATCTTTTTAATGTTAATTGCTTCTATGTCCTTGCATAATATTTAGATGCATCTCATTAGTTTATTGGTTCTTCTTGGAAACTCATTTTGCAATGCAATAAATGAAACTGCCTGAGGTGTAAAAAAAAGGGTTTAAATCAATTTTAATTAAAAGGTTTTATATACATCTGTGAGTATTGATAATATGTCTTTTTGTTCGCTTTGCATGAACTATTAAAATAAGAATTCATTAACTTTTATCTTCAACAATCTATTATTCCTTTTTAAATTAAATAATACAACACAAAAACTATTGAATTTGTTGAATCAGATATCAAGGGATCGTGAAGTACCCTGTGCAGCAGCTTGTCATCTCTTGGAAGATCTTTGCAATTCTTTTTATCTGGACAAAGAACAGAAAATATGCACCATAGCAAAAGTATGAAAAATTAAAGGGAGTGTTCGCGAAAAATGAAAGGGGCTTACGGGGAAAAAATAAGCGCCTTTGATCGCTACTAATCTTACTTCTATCTGCTGTGTCTAAGGAGAAAATTGTTAAACGACTTATACCAATTTACCAAAGAACGTAGCGTTCATAACAATTCAACTCTAAATTCAACAAAGTTGCAACATTCAATTCTGATCGTAAAATAATCAATTTGATTCCTAACAAATCATTTAGATATTACAAACATATAGTCATTGATTGTTTATCGACGCATTCGTATATACTTTTTATTTTGTTTTATTTGAATGATACTTAGCTGGCGCTGGATTTTCGAACATTCATGGAAAATATAAAAATTTTGTACATGATAAAAATCTTCAAAACAAGAATAAAAGTTTTGAAAAGTAACTCTCAGATCATAAAAAATAAAGAAATATTACGAAATATCAACTATATATAGGAATGCGTTGAAAATTATCGATGATTATTGGTTGTAATTGTAAAAGATGTTTTACATATTAAAAGCAAACTGATAAATTCAGAAAAATAATTCTACATTATAAATTTGACCCGCATAAATCAAATTCCTCATGCCTAGTTGGATCAGTTGGAGGAAGTTAAGGAGGAAGATCAAGTATTTGCCTTTGTTGAAATTGAAGCCTTTACAACACTACCACTGTGCAAGGTAATACAGAAGCAGCGTTTCATTAAGTATCATTAATCTTAAACAGAGTCACGGAAGTTCGTAGTAAGATTTTGACTCCACTGGAGACCACCGGAGGGAATTCTTTTTCACTGGAGGGGTTTGAAAAAATGCTTTTTACAATTCNAGGATATCTGAATCCCTCCAGTGGAATTATAAACCCCTTGGAAGGATAACTGAATCCCTCCAGTGGATTTATAAACCCCCTGGAAAGATTTCTGAATCCCTCCAGTACAATTATAAACCCCCTGGAAAGATATCTGAATCCCTCCAGTGGAATTATAAACCCCGAGAAAGGATATCTGAATCCCTCCAGTGGAATTATAAACTCATAGGAAGGATATTTCAATCCCTCTAGTGGATTTATAAACCTCCTGGAAAGATTTCTGAATCCCTCCAGTGGAATTATAAACCCCCCTGGAAAGATATCCGAATCTCTCCAGTGGAATTCTAAACCTCCAGGAAGGATATCTGAATCCCTCCAGTGGAATTATAAACCCCTTGGAAGGATAACTGAATCCCTCCAGTGGAAATATAACTCCCCAGGAAGGACATCTGAATCCCTCCAGTGGAATGTAAATCACCCTGCGTAAAGTTTTAAATTGTAAAAAGCATTTTTTGAAACCCCTCCAGTGAAAATAAAATCCCTCCGGTGGTCTCCAGTAGAATCGAAATCTTACTACGAACTTCTTTGAGTCTCTTAAACACTTGATCTCCATTGGGGCACTTTCATTTTGAGGATTAATGTTTCATCTTGCAATTAAATTATCTCTGCAGGTTATATGACCTCCACGGGATATTGATAAGGAATTGAATTAATTTTAAAGTCTGCAACTCTGCTTAACTTGGAGATCAATAAGGAGCAGATACATTTTTTGGTTAATCAATATCTAATTAGTAATTATTTTGTATAGTTTACATTATAATATTCTGATACTCTGAACAGAAGTTGTAAAAATGTATAATATTAACATTAAGATTGGATTCGTTCTATTGGAAAGCAAGGAAGCATGTGTTGATGTCAATGAATGTACTCAACAAGAAACCTTGGATTACTGTGGGTGAGTTCTAATGAAAGGACGCCCTGAGCTGGGAACTTTAGAATGGTGGATATCGGGATTAATGCTTGATCCACTCTTTTTCTTAATCTCCAGATTAAATATTGCTTGTTGTCCTCATGAATTTAATCTCCAGATTAATTAACAGATCGGGATTAAGGATATCACATTCTAAAGTTTTCAGCTCTGGCCATATTTTACCTATTTGTAATCACCACCATTTAAATATGATGTGACAATTTGCAATCAGGGAAAAATGTTAACTTCAATTCACTTGTTTCATAGATACAAAACATTGAGATCTAGTAACTCGAGTAACATTGGGTACACAACACTCACACACAGAGTAACATTGGGTACACAATTCACATACACAGAGTAACATTGGGTACACAATACACATACACAGAGTAACATTGGGTACACAATACTCACACACAGAGTAACATTGGATTCACAATACAAACACACACACAAAGAGTATTATTGGGTACACAATACTCACACACAGAGTAACATTGGTTACACAATACTCACACACAGAATAACATTGGGTACACAGTACTCATACACAGAGTAACATTGAGTACACAATACTCATACATAGAGTAGCATTGGGTACACAATACTCACAAACAGAATAACATGTGGTACACAATAAACATGATCAGATTAACATCGGGTACACAATACTAAATACAAAAAGTAACATTGAGTACACAGTACTTATACACAGAGAAACATTGGGTACACAATTTTCATACACAGAGTAACATCGGGTACACAATAAACATAAACAGAGTAATATTGAGTAAAAAAATCACAAACAGAGTAACACTGAATAAACAATACAAAGAGAATGATATTAAGTACACTTAAGGACAAAGTAATATTGATTAAACAAAATATTAAAAAAAGAGTAATATTGGGTACAAAATACTTGTACACAGGGTAACAGAAAGGTTCAGCATGAAGAAAAATTTGATTTTCACGAATGTTTTTACATTTTTCAGACCTAATACCAACTGTGTGAACACTGCTGGTAGTTTCAGATGTGAATGCAAGGTTGGATTTGAAAAATGGACACCAGAGGAAGGTTGTTTGGACGTAAATGAATGTGCAGGTAAAATTTTTAAAAAATCAATAGGATGCAATTTGTTGTGTACGTGTAGGGAGATTAGAAAAATTGAGAAATATATGATAATACTTATCAGGTAGTTGAATTATAGAGCACAGGAGGTTGAGGGATCAAGTCCCAAATCTTTTATTTTCTCCCTTTTTGAAAAAGATCATGTATACTGCTTGAATGCATAGTTTTGCTATACAAAAATAAGTCCCAGTTCAAAATGACCTATGGATATATGATTTTAACAATATATTGCCGTAAGAAAAATTTACAAGTATAAAATTTCTAATTTGTTTAAATTCAAGTTTGTAGGGTAAAAATAGGCGTAAAATTTAAGATTCAACACTTAACAGAACAAGACCATCTTAATAAAAAATTTTACAAAAAAGATGTTTTTCTCTTTAGGCAATAACTTTGTGCTTTGTGGAAGCAACTATGAAAATTGTTATAACACTCTTGGAAGCTATTATTGCACCTGTATAATTGGATGGTATGATTGGACTCCAAGTGGAGGTTGCCGTAGAGGTAAAAATAGTTGATCATGTTCTGTTGTTAGGAATAATTAGCATCGACATCAATAAGAAATTCAAATATTTAGCCAACACTATATTAATGACAGAAAAAAAGTAAATGTAAAAAATAAATGTTCACTTTATCAGCCTCTTTCTAAAGTTTTACAAAAACCGTTACCCCCATCCCAGTTGAGCTATTTTTGTCTTATGTAGGTGGGGTGTGGGAGGGGGGAAGGAGGGATTCCCCCCCCCCGCTCCTCCTCAAACAATAATGGATTGATGAACGTAAAAACATTGCCTAGCCATTCAATCCAAGCTTATGCATCTAAAGCTAGATAAAAAGTAAAAGAATTTTAAGATGCGCTTGACATTATATTAACAAACCCTTTAAATTAAAAAGTTGCTATTATAATGACATTGTTATATGTTATAGATTGCTTGGGTCGGGAAAACTTGGATACTGATTGCTGCACCACTGCTAACCCTTGTGACTATGGGAAGGGAGACTGTGACAGGTTAACAAACTCATTTTGTTTGAAGTACCATTCAACTAAAGTATTAAGAAATTATGAACATTTTTTTAAATACTATTAAACTACAACTATCAGAATTTCTGCATTTCGTTTAAAATACAATTTAAACTAAAGTATTAAGAAATTCTAAACATTTAGTTTGAAATATCATTAAACTAAAGTATTCAGAAATTCTGAACATTTTGTTTGAAATACCATTCAACGAAAGCATTCAGAAATTCTGAACATTTTGTTTGAAATACCATTTAACGAAAGCATTCAGAAATTCTAAACATTTAGTTTGAAATACTATTAAACTATAAAGTATTCAGAAATTATTAACATTCTTTAAAATACCCATTAAACTACAACGATCAAAAGTTCTGAAAATTTTGTTTAAAATACCAAGTATTAAGAAATTCTAAACATTGTAGTATTTAACGGTCTCTTCGTTTACAACAATTTTCAGACATAAATCCTAGGAATATCAAGATCAACCAATTGCCCCTCTACCATATGGGTTTGTGCAAAGCTTTTCTCCTACTTATTCCCGTACCATAATGTAACCATCTTTACTCGTAATAGCTATCTCTTCAGGTCCTCAACCATAGGTTTAATAACCAAGATGTATTAGTTCACATTTATTGGCATAAATATATCTGTTATAACGGTTTCCTATCTAATCTGCATTCCATAGGTCCAAAGAGTCCCTCAGCAGTTCATCTGAGCCTCTGTTCCCTGCTGGGCTAGATGTGGTCTCAGCTAATCCGGGGTAGATCTTCCCAATGATCATGGCTCTCCTTTATGTCCTTCTGTAGATCACATAACAGGTGATCTCCTGATCAATCCTAGCTATCTACCAATATGCTCTAGTATCCACCTTATCTGCAGCATCCACACTCCACAGTGTCTACAGTATCTGCATTATCCTCGATATCTACAGTCTGCTCTATATTTCTGTGGTCTTTAGTCTGCTCTGCATCTCTGCTGATCTACATCTGCTCTATGCCTCTGTAATCTGTAGTCTGCTCTGCATCTAAGTTGATCTACAGTCTGCTCTATATCTCAGTGATCTGTAGTCTGCTCTGCATCTCTATTGATCTGCAGTCTGCTCTATATCTCTGTGATCTGTAGTCTGCTCTGCATCTGTGTTGATCTACAGTCTGCTCTATATCCCTGTGATCTGCAGTCTGCTCTGCTTCATGATCTTCTCCTTGTAGCTCTCCTGTAGTTCATATAACTGGTGATTTATAATCATCCTAGTTATCCATAAATCTGCTGTGGATCCATGATCCTCTCTTTGTAGTTCTCCTGTAGTTCATATAACTGGTGATCTTTATGATCAATCCTAGCTCTCTATCAATTTGCTCTAGATCTATAGTCTCCAAAGGATCCACAGTATCCAAGATCTCCACAGTATCCAAAGTATCCTCTACCTATTATCAGTTACCTATGAGTGTTCTGTTAGCAATCAATGGAGTGTAAGTCCCCAGACCTTGACGGAATAAACAGAGCTTGCTCAATGTCTATTCGGTTCTAAGGTTCTGGGTTCACTGCCTCATCTCTGGCTTCAATAATGGATTTCAGCTCTGGAAATATGATAAAGGTTTCAAACGGATTCAACCGGATTAAACAAGGAAAACTACGCCTTAAAATATTACAACATATTGTTTGAAATATTATTAAACTAAAGTATTAAGAAATTCTAAACATATTGTTTGAAATACCATTAAACTAAAGAACTAAGAAATTCTAAACACATTGTTTGAAGTACCATTAAACTAAAGAATTAGGAAATTCTAAACATTTTGTTTAAAATACCATTAAACTAAAGTATTAAGAAATTCTAAACATATTGTTTGAAATACCATTAAACTAAAGAACTAAGAAATTCTAAACATATTGTTTGAAATACCATTAAACTGAAGAATTAAAAAATTCTAAACATTTTGTTTGAAGTACCGTTAAACTAAAGTATTAAGAAACTCTAAACGCTTTGTTTGAAATACTATTAAACGTATCAAGAAATTCTAAACATTTTGTTTGAAATATCATTAAACTAAAGAATTAAGAAATTCTAAACATTTTGTTTGAAATACCATTTAACTAAAGTATTCAGAAATTATGAACATTTTTACAAATACCCATGAAACTACAGCAAGCATAAATTCTAAAAATTTGTTTGAAATATCATTAAACTAAATTATTAAGAAATTTTAAATATTTTTTTTGAAATATCTTTAAATTAAAGTATTAAGAAATTCTAAACATTTCGTTTAAAATACTATTAAACTAAGGTATTGAGAAATTCTAAACATTTTGTTTGATTTACCATTAAACTAAAGTATGAAGAAATTCTAAACATTTTGTTTGAGTATCATTAAACTAAATTTTTAGGAAATTCTAAATATTTTGTTTGAAATATCATTAAACTAAAGTTTTAAGAAATTCTGAACATTTTGTTTGAAATACCATTAAACTAAAGTATTAAGAAATTCTGAACATTTTGTTTGAAATACCATTCAACTAAAGTATAAATAAATTCTAAACATTTTGTTTGAAATAATCAGTTATCTAGGCATTGTCCTACTATAAAAAACTGTTTAGTACAGTAAAACGTAGTGAGCGATTAAGCTTAAACGCAATTTTTTAAAGAAACACCAAGTATGTAATAAAAAGATAAAGTGTATTCTTATTTGAAAGAAAATGATAACATATAGGAGTATCTCTCATCATTATTTTTATAATTTGATAGTGACGCGCACTGCAAGGGTAGCCTGAGATGTGGGGATAATTGGAACAATTGTCGTGATTTCTTTTCTGGAGCTGGGCCTCTGCGTGACTGCTGTTTATAATTCTGGTCCTGTAGCAGCATTATAGTATTTGAATTTGGACTTAGAATTCATAGCATACCATTTGTATTTAAAAAAAAATTATTTCATGCATTGGATCGGGTACAGGTGGGTCTAAAGGGTGGGCTGTTTTTCAAAAAAACGTCTTAAGTAGCTTTTTTTTCGTGTGATTTAATTGCTAAATCTTACATCTATGAAAAGCCCTTGGGGAAATAACTTAAAAAGCATGTGTCATGTCTTTTAATTTGTTGAAAACTAAATTTTCATTTTTGAAATTTTTTTGAAATTTTTCGTTCTTTTTTTAAACTCTTTTTAGCGGCCTTAACTATTTCTGTCAATTCTTGTTTTGGAAGAGACGCCCCATTATACAGCAATTTCAATAAAAACCCATCAATTTTTAAGTTGTTAATAAACGAAAAGAGCAATTTAATGGGACTGTAAACCTAATTTCAAGTGACCCTCCATGCAAAAATGGTAATGCCCGATTCACAACGGTATCCTTGAAAGCTTTGTCTGATCAAGTAAGAATTAGATATCAATGTGTGTAATTAAAATATTGACTATTTTCAACTGTGGTTTCTCTACAATTGTGACTTTTAACTGAAAGAAACGTTAGGATTTATTAGATTTGAATATTTACCAGTCTATTCAAATGACTCAATCTTCCACGTTATTGATCAGATAAAGATTTTAAGGATACAGTTGGGAATTGGGCATTAAACCATTTTTGTATGAAGGTTCGCTTGAAATTAAACTTCCCTTTAAAATTTCAGTTTTGATTATGAACTTTTAAATAAATTTTAGTTTTAGTTTTGAATATTTAATATGATAACGTGTGAAGAATTATTTTTCCTAAAAAATGGAAATATTTGAATATTGCATCCAAACATTCTAGAATTTACAGTGTGTCCCACAAAACACGACAGTAGGAGGACGACTTTAAAGTCGTCTTTTTTTCTTTGAATTTCTTTATGCAGTCAGTTGTCAACTCACTTTAACATGCATGATTCTTAAAACAATAACCATAAAGTTCTTTTCCAGTTTCCAAAATGTTTTCTGCCTTTTCTGTGCTTTCAATATTCGTTCAGATTAAAATTTTATTAAATAAAACCAAAATTGTCGAAATATGAACGAAATTCTTTATACTTCCGGTAATATTGAAAGCACAAAAAGGCTTATTATTAATTATTATTATTATTAACTCTAGAATTTACTTCTCAGATTAGGTTAATGTCGGAAATAAATTAAAGGATCAAAGACGACCGTCAAGTAGTCTTGCTGCTGTCTTGTTTCCAGATTTGGCGCAAAATTTGCATTTTACATTTTTCCTATTCTAAAATTAGCTTTAAATATAACGACTGATTTTTGTTTATGAACCATTTTCTATGTCATGTGTATTTTGACATAAAAACTAATTGTTTTCATTTGGTTATTATTGCTTGTAATGTTGTAATACAAATTTTATCTTACACTCATCATATATAAACACAATGAAGACGATTTCTACTTCAATTCAAACATCATGGATTTGGATATACATAAACATGGAATTTAAGAGAATCTTCTCTTTGTAAACTTGTTAGAAATTAAAACTTAAAAAGAAAAATCGTCTTCATTGTATTGATATAAACGCCGACCATTTTACATTTTTTCTTTAATAAATAATTATCAGAATATGCTTAACATGCAGAAAGATAAGGACGTGTAAGAAAAGGCAGATGCTGAGTATAAAGTTTATCTCGATTGGGCTATTTTTGTCTATTATTGTCTCGATTTTTCCCTTAGGGTTGAGATAGGAGAGTGTGATACATGTCCCTAGTCAAACGTTTCAAGGCCTGCTCACTAAAAAAAATAGACCTCTATCTTTAATGATTAGGGTGCAAGGGAGGATTTTAAAAAGTTCAAAAAGTAGATGGGAAAACATTTCAAAAATGACTGTTTTTTACTTATGATAAATATTAACATGTGACACATTTTATTACATCCAATTTTCAAGAGCTTTTTTAACATATAAATTTCAACCCTGTAGCTTAATTAAAAAAAAGTTATTAACCATAATTCTGATTTTTTTGAAACACCGACCCGCAGTTTGTGTGATCTCCATCATATCCTATAATGCAAAAAACAAATTTAGCAAAATTTGTTGACAATTATGAAGTTGAAAAACTGAAGACGTTTTAGCGTTCTTATTTCAGCAGTGTTTAAGAAAATAACAAAGGAGGGAGTGGAAATCCCCCCCTCCCCCGTGAAACAACGGAAATCATCAAGGACAATAAAATTATGTTAGTTGACATTTTCAAATATTTGTTTAATAATCCAACTAAAACCAGATTTACAATTTTCTCTCCAATTTACTTAATCCCTGTATCTTTGCAACCTTTGATATTTTAAACTTAAATTATATGATCTAACAGAATTCACAGCTTTAACTATCTAAGGTATACGACATTGGGTTGGAAAGATGAGTCCTAGGAATGGGAATCTGAGTTTGTGGTAAAGACTCAACTCCTTGAATGCACAGTAGTGTTCAATTGGCAAAAATTGTAATTTAATTTAGTTTTAGTGCAAATGAGCATTGTTAAATCGAATATTACATTCTAAAATTGCATTACAAACTTTTAAAAATTTCTAAATAAAACCGTGCAAACTATTTCAATATCAAGGTACACAAATATGCAGTTAAGTGACACAGCAAAATAATCCTAGTTTACATCCGCCATTTAAATTATCGAACAAGGCGTGTTTGAATGCATGATTTGATATTTAAAAATATTGCCAAACAAACTAGCTAAATGGAAAAAATAATATTTCTCACATATTCAGCAGATCGTAAATCCATGATTTCGTAATTTATGATTGAGCGCAATAATTTTGTAAGTTGTATAAGTTGTTGACAAATAGGTCAAAAGGACAAAAGTTGTCCGACCTATAGAGAAACCCGACAAGAGAATTTTTCTGACCTGATTTTTATCGATTTTTTTTATCGATGTTATTTCCACCACTGATAAGTCTATTGAAATATTTTCCAATCTAGTCTGTTTGTTTGTATCCAATAAACGTCAAAAGTCTGAATCGATCCGGCCCAAATTTTTTTTAGGAACCAAATGTAGGTTTTTAGCTGATCCGACTTTTTTCTTCTGAATTTCACAAAATAGGAACTCAACTTTTGATTTACAAATAATCACAAAATTATAAAGAAATCCCACGAAACATGACAGTTAGCATTTGAAAGTCGTCTCTGATCTTTGAATTTATTTGAGACATCCAGTCTTTTAGTGTAAGCAATAACCCGTAATAACAATAAGAATATTCTAGTCCAGGGATTTTCAAAATGTGGTCTGCCTTTTTTGTGTTGCCAACATTACCGGCGATATTGAGAGTTTTGTTGAGAAATTTTAGTTTTATTAAATACAACCAAAATTTTTGAAATCTTTACAAAAGTCTTCTTATTTCCGGTAATATTAAAAGCACAAAAAGGCAACCCACATTTTTAAAATCCCAAGACTTGAGGGTATTTTGTGATTCTAGAATTATACTTTTAAAAATGTGGCTTATGAATAAATGGCGTAAATTATTTCAAAGATCAAAGACGACATTTAAGGCGTCTTGCTTCTGTCATATTTATGGGACAAATTCTGTAAGTGAAACAGTCGGCCTTAAAGGGTTAGAATTCAAGTGTTTGCTTTAGAAATTCAATTTGAAAACGACGACATTTATAATCTACCGGAGATCAATTGTCAGATATTGGAATAAAATCAATGGCCATAATAATTTCTCTAAATTAACCCTTGTTTTTATTTATACAAAAAATTACCATAATTATATTGAATCCTACTGAAATACATATTTTTGTTGTCGGAAAAAAAGTTCCCAATTTGCTTTAGTCGGTGGTCCGGTTAGTTAGAGTGCAGTTTAAAAAAAAGATTTTAAAATTGTAGACACCTGAAAAGGAATGCCTGTGTAATTTAAGCAACCTTCCAATTTAAGAGGGTCATTTTACATTTTGTCAACCTTACATTTCGTCAACTCAAATATACATTTGGTCCATTTACATTTTGTCGTTCTATCTAAACTTCGACATGTCAACTACAACAACTACCTTCGGTCAACTTTTACCAAAAAAAAATCAGTTCCCTTGAATATCAGCATGATATATTCCCTTGAATATCAGCATGATATATTCCCTTGAATGTCAGCATGACAAATCCGCAACATTTCGCAAACTTAATTATAATTCAGTCATTTACATTTTAATTTCTGTTCTGAAAATACGGTAAATTATAAGAATCCCTAGTCCCAGGAGGAAAGTACCTCCTTAAGTACACCATGCATGAGAAGTAATCAGGTTCCAAGGAGGTCTACAACAGTCTAACCAGGAAGTAATATACCCAAGCTACAACAGAAACCAAGAATGGAATATATGAAGATGTGGAGTTGCTGGAAATAAAGAAGTATGTTGGAAATAAGAGCTATATATATATATAGAAACCTAAATTTTGCCATTCTCTT